GCTTTGTAGTAAACGATGGCTCTTTTTTCACCAAAAGAGTAAGTCATTGGTTATGAACTGTACAGGAGATCCTTCACAAACTCTATATCAAAAGAAGATTATTTATAATGAAKTATATAGTATACAAATAGATCGCTTCAATGCAATMGGCTTTATAACTCAGTTTGTAGACCACTGCATCGGTATCGCAGAGGTCATGGGTTCGATTCCCGTTGAACATCGAATTTTTTTCGGGCATCCATTTCTTAATAATCGCTTAGATTATTATAATCTCACTGCAACGATCATCATTATTCATCATTACATATCTTTCTAATGTATTGTGAAAAATTCGCATTTCATTGCGGTATTACCTTTTCTCCGCAACCTYATATACCCTAAAACGGTYTCTAGAAAAAWGCTGAAAATGAATTGATGAAATGTGAAAARAAAAACATGCTTATCTCTCAGTCACAACTGCAGTGTTTGTTGATAATAGTTCAAAAMTCAGAAAATGACTATGATAGTTAATTCTTAATCCACTCTTGGTTATCAGTAAGAAAGAACACTCACCTAATATTACCATTGGAAACACAAGGCTTTAATTCTATCTTGTGCTTAGGACTATGATCACCTTACCTGCCTGTACCGCTTTTATATCATCGAACAGCCGATGCTGTGTTTTCAGGATCCCTACGAGGAACACGTTTGTCATAGGATCAAGTCATGCACCATAAGCGACATCTGCTTTACGTTTATAAACATTTTAATTATTTTTGGCATTATTTTTGGATTGCTTTTGGAAACGTGACTGGGYTAATGTTTGTTTTTGCAGGCTTTTTAAATTTCCTTWTTTAATTCAGTCGGATTGTTTGAGTAAAAGGAYCATATTMTATGAAGTACGCTGTCCGCACCGCGGGTGAATACAGAGTACTATRCGCCTTTGTACAATTTAGTCCATGTCATTGATATTCGTCTTATAAAATAATGTTGATTTACCATTAAACTAGATAAAGAAATTCAAGTCTGATTATTGCCAGCTTTGTGATTTTAACTGTGATGTTGTATTACTCTTTTTCTAGCCAACTTAAATTATTTTTGATGAAAAATAAGTTGAGTGCACATTATAATGTTGTTTGGCTTTTTTTCGTATTCTCWCGCTAAAACTCTATTACTTTGGCGCAAAGTAACCCAATCTTAGTTCAGATCCACTCCCTTCACCTCACATTCTACACAAGACTCACACTCTGAAACGATAAATCTGCAGTTCTTCTATAAACATCTTCTATAAACAGGAGGTTATGCGGTGAATATTGTCCATGTACGGTCGCAGCTGTACATATATTCTCTACATCACAATAAGCGGGAAGTGAGATTCAATATTTGCTTGATGTCTTGCTGTTTTAGCAAATGCTGTCAATTTTTCCATCACGTTTCGTTATGTAACCGTTCTAAAATTGAGTGTAGGTATTTTGTTATTTACAAAGCCCAAACGTTGATCAAACTAAAGCCTGCTTGAACTGACGTTGAATCAAATTAAGACAATTCCCATTCATTTTGTTGTGTTATTCTTTCAATTTCGTTCTAGTTCCTTTACATGAATTGATCAACTTAAAATAGTTAAACTCAAGCTCCCAAGTCCCAAGTTTGCCCCTTAGTTTTTAGTTAAGGAAAAGGAAAGTTGTTGTTGTTGTTGTCGTTGTTGTTGTTGTTGTTGTTGTTGCTGCTGTTGCTGATGTTGTTTTCAGTTTCTTTTAAAAGCATCACAGATCGATATCGGTTCTTAAGAAGTTCTTAAGCAAAAATCTCTGATGAAACAATGTGATAATCTGTTGTTTTTTTGTAGATATCAACGAATGCCAACCACAACTACTTGGGTCAAATCATAGTCACCTCGCACATAACTGTAATGGCAACGCCTACTGTACCAACACCAAGGGATCATTCTTCTGTACATGTAATCCAGGATACTCAGGAAATGGACTTACGTGTGCTGGTATGTACATCAATAAACCAGTATGGATAGATAATACTTTTATTGAAGGTTTTTAAACCTTAAAAATTTAAAATTTAAAAATTGTAGCCATCCGCTTCTAATAGCGGAGGTTTGAATGAAGTGGATCAGGGGTATTTTTTTGTTTGTTTGTTTGTTTGTTCTGCATTTGTTTTTAATGGAAAAGCATTACCATGAATGGAGCATGGACAGACAGACGGTGTACTATATGTAAAGGGTCTTTAGCATGTCTGTGGTACTTGATTTACTGCTTGATGGCACGACTAACAGTATTGAAGCACGATGGCTGTAAAACACGAACTTAGCTACATTTGACATAAACATTGACTTCAAAAAAGACTACAGAGAACTGTGAATGGGAATGACACTTCTCCTCGCCTTATGACGTCATGCTTGTTTTGACGAAGTGCATCATGGTATTATTATTGTTGTCAAGACGACGGATATCTTACAAATACTATTGAGGACAAAGGCTATGTACGAAATTAGCATTAACCGTTATTGGTGATTAACATTTGATAAGATTGCTGCTCTATAGTGTATACTCAAAGAAAAAACAAAGAAACTAGAAATCCCTGTTGTTCGCTAAACAGCCTGACACACAGCAACATGGTCTGGTACTTTCGTGCAATGTCATGGTGCATCTCACTAAAGCATGATTGACGTCATAGGGAGAGAGGGCCGTTGTCAAATTGTACTACAGAAAGGAACTATGTGATGACACTATTAGAATGATTAGATATCAAATCTAGATCTCAGCTACTTTTGTATGAAAGTGTGAAGTCGATAATGATAAATAAGAAAGAAGTTCTTCATATCATTCATCGTATCCTGCACAGCCTTAAAATGCTAGTCGTTTAATCAATATTCAATAGTTCCTTTTTATCGTGCAATCTCTATTAGATATATACACTAAGGCATAACTGAATTACCGGACTGCATTATGGGCACAAGCATGTTACACGGATTCATCTGATTCATTTATTGTGATAAAAGTCGTCAAATMTTCTACTTGGCAAAGGCTATTGTTTCAGTTATGGTGCAGGATAATGAATTTATCATGGATAACTGCATAAAGGTCTGGGTATATCTGCATTCAAAGGCAATWGGCGCYTAATATGCCGGGCAATGCATGGTTTGTAATGCARAATACAGATAATAAGCTCAAATGTGTCATATAAATGTTAAATGTATGACAAGATTAAAGACGGAAATAAAACATAAAACACACGACAACCGACAACTTAACCGTACGTTTTTCTGTGCACGTTCTGGTGAACGTGGGTGTATGACCTGCTAATCGCATGCACGTATCTGCATGACGCCTATGATTTATGAACCATTAAAAAACAAACGACGTACTAAAGTGCAGCCAAATGAGAGATGTGTTATCACCGAACATTATTGGTAAATCTTCAAGAAAATGCTTGAAGATCGTGGGCAGAGGGCAAAAAACGTCGTTGGAAAAGGAAAATGTGATAACGATTGGAATTATAGAATGAAAACACTATAGAACTCAAAACCTCGTTTGATGTTCCATCTACAACACCAKCAAACAAGGTGGCTAAATTTTAAAATATTGGCCGTCCAGCAATGTTTGTGTTTGACTGGTAGTCAACATTTCTCGTTTGCTGTTTTTTGAATCATAGCAACCCAGGTAACCCAACCACCAAACTAACAAACTATCCTGATATACCAATCTGTGTGACCTGAAACAACTTCATCTGAATGACAAAACAAAAGGTTTTGCTCTCTTTYAGACTGAAATGACTGAAATACATGTAACGTTGCTTTGCCCTTCAAGATGAAGATGAAGAAACTGCAAGGAGTCTTTGACTTRACTGGTGATGACCATTGCCAATGCGTGTATTCATTGTACACATGAATAGCAACAATAAAACGAACTGACCGTTAATATTGACCATGATAAATAAAACCATTTTACTGTATTCACTAACACTYCACTATCAACATTGCAATTTGTCATAAACAATGTTCATTCAGCTAGCAATACCTGAGATTGTTCAGTGCCGAACGGTAAGGTAAGCATGTTTCTTGACTTTGTTATTTTACAGTGATATAAACGTTCACATTGCATGTTTTTTATAAGCATGTTTACTGTTCTCCTTGGCCATGCCCTTCGATTACATCTTTGAGTGTCTATCTGCAAGCCTATTGAGGATTGTCCACAAGATCGATTTCAAGTACTTTCAGATTCGTCCACTATAAAAAAAACCTTTCCAATTCGTTCCCAGGACTTCAGTTCATTCTGAGTATACTTTGCTAGATATGTCGCTAAGGGCATTTAAATCGCGGCCCTGACATGCGTACGAGATCGAATGCAGTTCGGTTTTCATGTCCGCGGCAAGCACGTACTCGGCCAGGTTGTATGCGCATGATCAATAGTCCTGACCGCCCACGAATAGAATGACTTTTACGTATGGATTGGACATGAACGGGAGTTCACAAAGCGCCGTCTCTCTTTGTGAAGAGATGACAAGATCTAAASTTCGCCATGTGAAAAGAGAGTGCAAAGTGTTCACCTGTGAATGGTATTGTTCAAAGCTGTGCCAAACAAATAATAGAATACAAAGAATATTACAGTACCAATTTGCACAATTAGACGAGTTTGAATACCTGGTCTTAGACTTTATAAAACTGGCATTCATTCTGACTAAAAGATTTAAAAKWTCCCAACCGCTGTTAACAAGAAATAGAACTGCGATGAAAGAAARCGTTCTCGCTCGCTCCATTATCTTTCAARACCTAACTTTCGCGCTGATTGCTTAYCAGGTGAATTATTAAAGAGTTTTTAATTTTTTTATTCTTGTGGTCAGCCTGTATTATGATTCACGTGTCCAATATGCTTCTTTATGCATCGGATTTCTGTTTCTTTGAATTCACATTTAACCTTTTTTTAACATGATTGTTTTAATATGAAAGATATTTACTCACCAAAAACGTCATTACTTTGTATTGTTTTGGAATTTCTCACTAGGTGTGTCCAAATAAGAAATAAGTGTAGAAGCAACTGTATAGTTCTCAATACATTGTGGTTTTYAAGGCCAAATTAAAATCTTAGGCGCGAGAACATTCGCAATAAGTAATTAACTTTTTCATCAGGATAAAATTTAAGTGAATGATTGTGCATGTATTTCTGTATGTACTTCATAATYTTCAGTTCTAAATGTAGTAATGCATGTCGCAAGGTAAATATGTTCAGTACTTTATTTACTTAATTAAAGTTTGTAAACATTACTATAAATACTGCCCTGATAGCATTAAATTGCTTGCCTTAGTGTTCACATATTGTATAATAATTGTCCTTAACGTTTTCATATTATTAATCTATTTCTGCTATGTTAAATCATGGGTACTGCATAAAAACAGCAAAATCTGTTGGTCAAACAATAAAATTAATGAACTTCCCTTGATTAAATATTCATTCCTTATAAGCGAGTAATGATCAAGTTACTCTATTCAGCTAAATGATTTGCTGTTTCTATGTATTCTCGTTTTCTGCGGTTTCAGTTAAGGCTAGTTGGAGACCAGGGTAGATGAAAATTTGCTTGCCCGCCAAAACTTACAAAACTAAAGAAAAATATTTCAAGCTCAAGTTTACTGTTTAATTTGATGTTATCTCCAGCAAGCCTTACACAAACCTACTCCTGATCCTTGATATTCTTGTATAAGTCAAGAATATTAATTCTATAAGCATTTGCATGTATTTGTTGCCTGAATTGCTTGAATTTTTTTCTTCTTCTCCTTGCCAGATATCAACGAATGTAAACCTGAWTCTCTGGCTTTGGACCAAAAGAAATACGCCCATAACTGCCACATCGATGCTAACTGTATTAATACCGTTGGYTCYTTTTATTGTGAATGCAAGATAGGATACTCCGGTAACGGATTGACGTGCGTAGGTTAGTAATAAATAAACATCCCTTTTCGGTGTCGATTAACGAGTTAATCCAGGAAATCTTGGACAACTGTGATATCATTAAGTATCCTAGATAAGAGGGTGGCTTTTTAATGGTTTTTAATGGGGTTTTCCTTATCGGACACAACTTTGTGACTGCTAACAGCCCTGAGTTTACAATTTCAATGTCCTTAGTTACTTTATTTTTAAACTGATTTTGAAACAATTGTCGACGAACAGCTAATTCTGTCGCGATTAACGGCAACTTTTTTTAAACGTTTCACGACTAATTATTAACACAGAGACCTCTTTGTTTAGCCGTCCTGTTGAGGAGTTGTGTTCGGCAGGTGTTCCGAGACGAACTTTAACTATAGGAGCCTTATTAATTATTATTGCTGGGTCAGCTGTAAGTGCCCAATCATTGGCATATTATTATACCAGCAATCCTTCCAGTTGAACAAATTCAACCAAACAAATGAAAACTTATCGCCGCAAATCTGGAAATCTTTGGCAACGCTTTTGTGTGATGACGTCTTGCCTTTTTAAAACCAGCGAACAAAAATAGAAACACCTTACATTTGATAATCGTGTTTTGCTTGGGCGTCGAAAGGCATTCATTTTTTAGTTAATTCCAATCAAATTCCTTGTTGTTTTCGTTTTAGGCTTGTAAATATAATACTTGTGCGAATACTAGTTTTGAAAAGTTCTCTCATAGGTATCTTCACTTGTCCCCTGCATCGGGAATTCTCCGTGTCGAAAAATAATATTAGATATTGAATTGTGCAATGATGTCTTTTCAGATTTCAATGAATGTTATCCCGACCTCCTGTCGTCGAATTACAGCAAATTTGCTCATAATTGCCACGCGGATGCTAACTGTACCAACACCAAGGGATCGTTCTACTGCACCTGTCATACGGGATATTCAGGAGATGGAGTCACGTGTGTAGGTACGTCCGAATCATATGTACCAGTAATCTGATCTGTGTTTTGTAGTTCTTATTGCTGTTGTTGTTTTTTTACGTCTTTCTACTCCAATCCTACGCCGGATTCCGTACCATCAGGATTCCATACGAGACATCGCGAATGAAATATGGCTGAAAACCGATCCTTCCCCTCTCATGTCCAAAAAGAAACGCCCTCGGTTAACACGAATACGTTTTATACTTCAGATATCAACGAATGCAGTCCATCAGGTCTATCATCCAATCACAGTCACTACGCCCATAACTGTCACAATGATGCTAACTGTACCAACACCAAGGGATCGTTCTATTGTACTTGTCATACGGGATATTCGGGGAATGGAGTCACATGTGTTGGTACGATCTCATTTCATTTTCTTTTTTCATTCTCATTTTCTTTATAAAATACAGTTTCATTTTCTATGCATATTAATTCTGATTGAACGGTTTTCTTCCAAAACTGACAGATATCAACGAATGTCACAAAAATGCGCTGGCTTCACATCACAGTCACTACGCCCACAACTGTCATGACGATGCCAACTGTACCAACACCAAGGGATCGTTTTACTGTACCTGTCATACGGGGTACTCAGGAAATGGAGTCACGTGTGTTGGTAAGTGTATCAAATATAAATATTTTTATGGAATGGTTTCAGAGGCGGAACACGCCTCAAACCGGAAGAATTCAAACTTATAAAGCAACAAACGAGCATTTCAAGAGTTGATATGCTTAACGAATCACATTTCAAATTTTAGATATCAACGAATGCAGTCCATCAGGTTTATCATCCAGTCACAATCACTACGCCCATAACTGTCATAATGATGCAAACTGTACCAACACCAAGGGATCGTTCTACTGTACCTGTCATACGGGATATTCAGGGAATGGAGTCACGTGCGTAGMTAGGATTTTATGACATTGATTTGTGCTTTTCGAGCTAAAGTTTTTAATCCGTTAACCATTATCTAGCCAATCAAATAGAATGCTCAACAATACAATACATCCTGCATATTTAGGATTTTCTTAAGTTTTGGAACCAAGCTTTTTTTTTATATTCAACAGATATCAACGAATGTCACAAAAATGCGTTAGCGTCTCATCACAGTCACTACGCCCACAACTGTCATGACGATGCTAACTGTACCAACACCAAGGGATCGTTCTACTGTAC